TCCAGATACAGTCACGAGCAATATTGTCAGGCTGGATTTCTGCTTCTTCCCAGCATCCACTTCAGTTGGTTGATGACGTATTATAAGTCCCTTTCCTATGATGAAACCCCTCTATTCCATAAGCTGGCACAAATCTTTCTAAATTGATTCAGAAGGAGAAACTGCAAGGTTATATCAGGGAAGAGGTAAAATCCATGGTCGCTGAGAAGTTGGACCAGGGATGGAGGGTGGGGCTGGGAGGGAGGAAACAGAGAGGGAACAAAAGCTATAGGTGAAGCCACAGGCTGCTCTGGGGGTGACAGCAGCTGAGAAGGAAACATGAGATACCGTGGATCTGTCAACAAAGGAGAGACTGTTTGAAATCAGGGAGTGTGCGGAAAAGGACAGGCAGTGTCCAGCAGGGACTGGGTGAAGCAGGTGTTCGGTGGCTGAATGTCGAGGTCCACCTAAGAGCGTCTGAATGTCTTACGAGGATTCCAGGCAAGATAAGGTTCAGGCTCAATTCTAAGGCAAGAAGCTGTGGGACAGGTTTTGAGCAAAATAACTTGTTTGGGTGCTCTCCTAACTCGTCAAACCCCTCTTTCTTTCCTCCTCCCCGACCAGAGCCCACCCCAAGTGTCGTCTGAGCACACCTCCCTGGACCTCCCTGTGGCCCCCTTCCCCCTTCCCTCACCACAGACTCTGCCAAGAGGGTCTTCAAAGACAATGACCCGCATGCAGAATTCAGGCCGCACTTTCTCTACCCCGTCAACTCTCACGTTTCCACCAAAATCTATCTCATCTAACAGTTTTGCCAGGAAAGTAACTTGATTACTGATGACTTCATGAAACTCATTTACATGCTGAAGAAGGTACTTGTTCACCTCAAAGGCCATATGGGCATGAAAAAGTGAATGTTACCAAAGACATTTTAGACCTTTATTTGTGGAGCATCCCAAATTATACAGAGATGATAACTGTTGCTATTCATGTGTTTATATTAAGTAGATGCTAGGGACAGGTTCAAATTTTATTATCAAAGTGACACAGGATTGTAAAGTCTTAGCCACTGTGTTGTATCTCAACATGCTAACGAAGAGCTTAGGTTTGAAGAACTGTCTGCAGAATGGCCTGCTTGGTAAATGGCTGCACCTGAGAGGACGTGGCAAAACAGCAGAGGAATTGCTTCCAAATTGTTGAGTCTGACTGAGGCCCTTTTGTGCACTGAGAAAAGGGGACAGGCACACAGGCTGCTCCTTTGTTTTGTTGAAAATATTCCCTGTCGTTTCTATAGCCAGTTTGAAATGTGCTCTATTCATAAAGGTTTCTCCTTGAATTCATACAAAGATCTAAAAACCTGGGGACTAAAAGCAGATCTCACTAGCCAAAGTAGATTAAGGAACATTTTTTAATGTCTTGACTTAGTATCATGAGCAAGGTCTGAGAAAAGTCATTGTCAGGATTGGGTGTGCTCACCCCTCTGACTTTCTCTCTCACACGTGTCTGCAGTGCTTTCCTGAGCATCTTTGCAAATTGTAATGGACTTGGATGGCGTTCTCAGGAAGATCCACCATCCTCACTGTGCATTGCCTCTTAATGTAAGCCACATTTGTAAAAGGACCCCATGTCACGACAAAGAGATTGCATGTTATGACAAAGGTCCTTTCTTAACCTCTGTCATTAATCGCCGGGCAAAATAGTTTGAAACTGGTGTGTAAGAGGGACCTTAGATTTAGCATTTACTTTTGAGTTTTATGTCCCACGATTTTGTATTTTCAGTGATCATATTTCCATTTTTATTTTTAAAGAAAGGAATTTTGCAATCAATGAAATAGCCACCATCAGTTTCCGGAGAGCAGGGAACACAGCATGTGAAAAGAAACACAGAAGTAGGAACACTGAAAATACTTTTTCATCATGGAATCGATGGGGACGAGATGATTATGAAAGCATTAAGGCAATTTTAAAGCCCGGCTTCAGTTCTGAGAAAAACAAATGTTAAATATAGAATGTCCAGTCAAACAGTAAGCCTTATCCTCTGTTACTTAATGGCAAACAATTGGAAAAGTGCTCAAGTTAACATATGAAAGAAGAGATTAATAAATAAACATCTATGTTGTCTAGCCATTTTGACAGAAGGGCCGCTGTAAACTCCTTAGCTCATGGTGTAGGCTGAGAAATGGTTAATATTAAATAAGATTAGTTTGGTTATGATCTATCATTTAGCTTGGAAACAATTGTCTTTTTGGAAATGCATCATTTACGTGGTGGGAGAATCAAAGGCTAGATGGAATAAAAGTATGCATTCAAACAGAATCTGAAAGCTTTTCCCTGGATAAGTTGAAATGAATGATCGTGATAATAACCCACTGCAGAGGATGTGATGGGTTGGGGGTAGAATTCTCACAGCTGTTAACTTGGATCCCTGAAATTGTTCCATCATTCAGAAATAATTTTCCTACATACTCACATTTGCTCACGTGTAGCTTGCATTAAGTGAAACTTCATTCACCGATTAGCGTACTGTTGAAGGTATATTAAAAATGGCTCGTTTATGACAGTTGTTGGCTCTACTGGAATTCACAGGGATGCCGACCAAACACCATTTGCAAATAAAAACCTTTCTTTTTTCTTTTGGTAGCAGGAAAGAGCAGAGTCACACAGTAGCTCTTGATTTACGAACGGTGCTTTCTCATTCTCAGACTCCCACGATGCGTGCAGTTCCCTTTAAGGAACTGGGTTAGAAGGAAGCCTTTACCAAGGAAATAACCCTACCTCCAAATCTCCTTCTTAATTTGCAATCATGTGGGCCTTTGATTATAACTGTCCCCTTCTCATGCCTCCAATGATCATGTGAGAGGGAGTGGAAACTGACGACCTGGAATAGCTCCTTGTTTGTAAAGTGTCCTTCAGGGGCAAATCAGACAGGAACCTACAAAGAATCACATATGTTCTGGGCAAAATTTGTGGGAGTATTTTACCTTCAACATTCCAATAAGCATCTTGTCAGCCTTGGGTCCCATCCTGAAAGTATACAGTTGTCTCCCGGAAACACGGCTGAAGTGTTGACCAAAGAGAGGCTGTAACTCTTCAGAGCAGATCTGGGGGACGGCTGGGTGAAGTGGCCAGGGCGGGCGGGCAGACAGGGAGAAATGCGGACACGCCTTACAGGACATTTTGGCTGTAACCAGTGTCCGTCCTCACTGTGGTCCGCCAAACAAAGTGTTTAGTGTAAAGAGGGCGCGATCCCTGGAGAAGCAGAAAAATGATTCCTGTTGACTGGAGGGAAATTAACTCATTCCTCCCTTTTCCTAGCAGAGAAGGCGCTGGATAAGCACTTGGCGATTAATTGCCTTGGTTGGTTTCAAGGGGTGTCTCCATGTCTGGAACAGTAGTTACGCCCACGGAATGTTCTGTGCTGCCGAGTGGCAGGATCCTCTAATCCAGAGCCTCCCCTCCCCCTTCCACGCCCCTCCCGCACCTGGCACAGGTAGACGATGTGGAAAACATATCCTAGTAATTACTAAACTGTTAACACTGGGCCCCAGTGACTCCTTTTTTGGCAGAAAAGTAACTAAGGACCATTTAATATTGAATGTTTAAAACTTAACTTTCAGATTTGAGCTGGAAAACTGTTGGCCTATATCAAGGATGCTAAAAGCAGTCATAACAGTATGTATCAATATAAGTTGGTCTTTTAAAGACTGAATGGATTTGGAGGGAGGAAAATGATTTTGCCCAGTCATAGCTGTGAAACCGTCAGGAATACAGTGAAGAGCTGGTGAGAAGAGTCCAATTACAGCATTCTCCCTTTAAGAGGGAAACAAGATTAGCAGCAACCTTGGCAAATTTGCGGCTTCTTTTCAGATGGAAAGAGAAAATCTTACAGGGTTAAAAAGAAAGCAAAAGAAAAAGC